CCAAGGATAACATTGATGATTGTGTCCATATTCTTACTTATCCAAGGATATTGATGTAGTGTATGCATTCGTTTTTCGCTACAAAAAAATTTACAATCCGATATTGGGTATGGAAAATGTATTCTCCTAGTTCCTCTAAAATTGTTTTGGGTTAGTAGATGAAATGCCACATGCCAAATTTACAAAAGAAGAAACATGTTAAATCAAATGTGGTTAATCCCGGCTCTCTATATGTGCAACAAGTACCATTTTTTTTTTGCTAAAACAAGTACATTTGCACCGGTCCAATCGTTTAACAGTTTTTGTTAAATAGATCAAAATAATTCAAGTGTGGTCGTTGGAACCGTTTTCTCTCTTTCATGTAGAGTTTCTTTCCCGTTCAATCGGTTTTTGTATTGGATTGTTGCCAATACCAACAATTCATCTTGTCAAAATTGCCAGTGTATGGGATCCTGGAATTTCTGTCATGATAGAGAAAATTTTGTCCACTAACCGGATGCGTAAGACGATGACATTGGATCTTTGCATAACCAAAGAATTATTGGTTTCTTTATTTTCATCTATGGTTGTCGAAAATCATTGATCAGGGATTGGAGGCAGGACATAGAAGTTTTGAATTCATTGGAGAGAGAATCAAAGTTGAAATCTCTTAAAATGACTATGATACGGAATTATTGGTATCAGACGGTCAATGTTTCATAAGTGTTACCGGAAGCATTGGGTTTTATCATGCAGTGTGCGCGATTTGGAAATTCTTTGAAGAGATGCTATCCACACACAAAATTCGCTTCACGGTGAGATGGATTACGAAGAAGCGTAGTTTTATTCTCGTAGCCTATCAAAAGAGATCTTGGATCTGTGTTATGTTATGTTCAGAGTTATTGCAACCTGGAACAGTTAGGTTCTTGAGATTCTACTGACATTTCTCTGCTTTAAAACTACCATTCTTGAACTTAAAATTGATTTTTTACATTGTGTGAAATGGTAAATCTTGGTTAGAAAGAAAAGAAAAGAAATGATACACATCTCAACTCATAAAAACTGACGTCATTTGCATAAACTTGTGAAGAAAGTAACTTTGATGCTTTCTTTATCAGAGAAGAAATATATGATGACCTGAGACTAAAGAAGAGATTTTGATGAACACAAGACATAGCCGCAAAACTTGGAATATCCATTGCATAACATAAGAGAAAATGGCTAAGTATTACAGAAATTCGAGTCTTATTTATATGCAGAGCAATAAACCCTAATGAAATATTGCCAAAGCTCAAAACAAAACCAATTCAAAAGAGATCATCATAAAATATATTAATGGCAACGAGACAACAACAGAAAGGAACAGGCTCGGGGGTTCAGTACGAGGATCTTGTCCCTAAATCCGAATGGAAAGATCAACCTGAAGCTACTCTTCTCACCATTGATCTTCCAGGTTGGTATATATACAAAACAAATACATCTATGAATAAGACTAGTTTTAATTTGATGTGAGATCGTTTTTGAAAAGGTTTTGCAAAGGAGCAAATAAAGGTGACGTATGTACACACCTCTAAGATGATTAGAGTCACCGGAGAACGTCCTGTGACTGATCGGAGATGGATTCGTTTCAACGAGGTGTTCAGTGTTCCACAGAATTGTCTAGTGGATAAGATCCATGGGAGCTTCAAGAACAATATCCTCACCATCACACTGCCTAAGGAGACGATCACGAAGGTGACTAATCTTCCAGAAGCTTCTAAAACTGTGGCTGAGAAAGTGGAGAAGCTGGAGGAGAAGAGGTTGTTAGAAGAAACTATAAGGAAAGAGAAGGAAAAATTAGAGGCTGAGAAAAAGAAGCTTCTTGAAGAGAAAGAGGAACTAATTAGGAAGCTGC